CCCACCCCACCCCACAAAAAAAAAACCCTAATATGATATCAAGCAACATTTGCTTATAAGATAACTTTAAAAGGAAAATGTACCTTCAAGTCTGAAGAAAAATTTGTAACAGTTTTCTTGTAGCCTGCTTTCTTGAGATGGAAATTCATCCATTTCTGCAAGATCTTCTCTGGCGATAATCCCATAAGTTCCTCAATATCCTACAAAAACTAGAAACCCTTGATCGCGAACTAACAACATTCAGGAATGAAGAAAATGGTCACTGTCAAAGGGATTTGTATTCTTACATCTTTGTCCTCCACCAGTTCCACAAGCTGGGGTGTCGTTCTAAGGTTAAGATCTGCCAATAGTTGGATCTGATGGTTCCACCAACAAATACAATAGAAAGAGATGGTATCAGCAAGCATCAACCATTACAAGTTTCTATGGCACGAGTTGCGATATAAATCCAATAATCCTCTTGGTATCTCTCCCTTTTTCTTCCCGTTTTAAGTTAAGTGTATAAAAAAGTATAAACAGAATAAAGTCTGTATATGCCAACCTTTATAATTTGAGAAATTAACCCAAGTACCAGATGAGGCTGCAAAAAGGAAGAGTAACCTTAAAAAACTAGTTACCAAAAAGTGTTAATAAAATGCATATTGATTTGACAAATTAGCTCGACTCACTCTTCCTTCAACCAGATCCTGTGTACCAATGTTGACTACTGTGCAGCCAATAGCTTTTGCAGAGTTGAGGCAAAGAGTGTGATTTTCATTTCTTTCCCATGGGTTAAGTACTTGTTTGGTGTTGATGGCCCGTTCATCTATTGTTCCCGGTAGAGCAACATTTATCACCTTGCTGCAAAAAGACACGAGAAAATATTAATCACCATAAAATATCACCTTTTGAAATCACGTGGAAAAAGAACAAGACATACCATAAAAGGACTCCATCTTTTGCAAGATTAAATAAAGCATTTGTAGATGGATCAATTGGAAGGAACTGCTTCAGAAATGGGTCATCTCTGAGGTAGCTGTTAATATGGGCAACATACAAAGCCTTCTCCGACTGACTGATGGTGTGAAGAAGGGTTGTGGTGGTGGCCTTGAGGAACGATGACGAGTTTTTCAAATTCCCCAATTTGGCATTCCCTCGATTTTGTAAGTCCAAATAAGTCTGCTCATTCAATAAAACTAATTAATATGTCGCTTACCATCCATCAAAATTTGAGTACGAGTGAGATAAAGTTCCTCTTCAATCAATGGTATAGCTGTAATTCCTCTCTACCGTCACTATGGCACGTTTGACATTATTAAGACAATAAGAAACTAAATCCTTGATAATTCATTATCCAATACTACAAACCAAACATATACTTGGAGCACAGCTTCAACCACACCGCCACAACATTCATATCACCAAATTGAATCTATTTCAATTACTGCTAAAGAAAAGAAAACAATTAATCCATATATGTCGAGAAACTCACTTTGAGAAAGCCTTCGAAATCAATCTCACTGTTCATATCCGAATGAATTTCTTCAAATGATCTCCTAATCTCCTCCTCACTGAACATCTCAGAAAATACTTTTAGTTTTGTCATCAAAGAAGGCAAATTCACCACTTTAACTTTACCGTTCTGATTCTCCATTGATAAGAACTACAAACAAACGCCAAATAAAATACATTTCACGCATCAATCTAGAACGATGGACAATACATATCAACTATCTGGCTTCAATTATCAGTTCAAGAAACACGATAAAATCTGGCAAATTTTTCACATTGAATCAGTGTTTGTTCCATATTTCACGGGAAATTTATTGTCGAGAATTCACAATGCCAAGATTCAATAAGAGCACAAAGTTTGAATATAGTCAAAGGGATAGAAAGAAAGTCACTTTTGCTTTAAGGCTGCGAAGTTCGACTTGCGTAAACTGGCTCTGCAGCCATTGATCAGAAACGAGAACTCCTCCTACGAAGCTAGACATCTCCTGTTCTCCCCCTTCGCCAACAAATCTCAAGGAATATGATCGATCTCACTCTTACGACTGATATACATGTACGTAATAAGAGAAATCCACAAGCCCACTATTCCAAATCACCGTCTCAAATTCAAAATGCGGAGTAAAATCAATAGATATGCATTTCATCTAACCATGCAAGCCGAGTTAACGCTTGGACCAATCTCCAATTAACACCATTACACCTCAACCCTGACAACAATTTATACAGAAAAATTGAACTGAAGATTGAATCCAAGTAGAGTAAGTGCTTCCCGAAACAATAATAAAGCTAGCTTTACAAACATGGCCGACAATCTTGGTCTCACGATCAAGCTTTGTCAAAATTCCAGCTTTTGCGTAAAAAAAATAATTTTTAAAATGGATGAATACCATGTCGTCAAATCAATCAATATTGAGAGTAAGAAAAACGGAACTTACAAAATCCAAGATTTAGCAAACCGAGGTTTTTGTTTTCTTCGTATTCTTAATTTATTCAAGACTTGACTGTTCGGTCCACATTTATTTACATGTCGATATTCGCTGCAATTGCTTGGTTAAAGAGCAAAGGGAGAAATGCTGTATCCTTACACGTGAGTAGAGGAAACGCCACCTGTTAGAGTATTGAATTGTATGCGGGAGAATTTCATACATGATCACTGAAATTTTAATTTATCTCAATTAAGTCACCAACCTCAATTTAATTTGTTAAATGGCTAATTTTCAATTTAATTTTAATTTTTGTTACGCCTCGCTACCAAAACTCAAAATCAAAGTGCACCTAGCAATCCACGTGGACAGAAAATCAACAGNTTTCTTTTAGCTTGGGCATCTTTTATAGTTTTACTATTTGTTTCCCATATGCCTAGTAGTTATATGACAGGTAGATTAACACGGCTATAGCTAAATTTTTCTTATATTTTCATATGTATATATTTTTTACGTTTTAGTGCATTTACATATGTATTGAATTATATTTTCAGCTATTACGATCGTTGATTGTCAACGGTCATCGGTCAACGGTCTCCGCCCGTGCTGAACTAAAAGGCTGGATTCGCCCCTGAGTGCTTCCCGAAACAATAATAAAGCTAGCTTTACAAACATGGCCGACAATCTTGGTCTCACGATCAAGCTTTGTCAAAATTCCAGCTTTTGCGTAAAAAAAATAATTTTTAAAATGGATGAATACCATGTTGTCAAATCAATCAATATTGAGAGTAAGAAAAACGGAACTTACAAAATCCAAGATTTAGCAAACCGAGGTTTTTGTTTTCTTCGTATTCTTTTTTGATATCCAGGTATCCTAAATTTATTCAAGACTTGACTGTTCGGTCCACATTTATTTACATGTCGATATTCGCTGCAATTGCTTGGTTAAAGAGCAAAGGGAGAAATGCTGTATCCTTACACGTGAGTAGAGGAAACGCCACCTGTTAGAGTATTGAATTGTATGCGGGAGAATTTCATACATGATCACTGAAATTTTAATTTATCTCAATTAAGTCACCAACCTCAATTTAATTTGTTAAATGGCTAATTTTCAATTTAATTTTAATTTTTGTTACGCCTCGCTACCAAAACTCAAAATCAAAGTGCACCTAGCAATCCACGTGGACAGAAAATCAACAGAAAAGTCAAATGAATGCCCAATTGGTCAAATACGAAGAAATCGTGCAAAAGGCCAAAGTTCCTTCCGAGGCACTATCTCAAATGACGAAACACCATAACTTGGGGTTGAAACACCATCTAAGGAAACAAATAAAAGAGCTGAAGCTCCCCATTCAGACAATCAGCATAAGAACAGCTCTGAGGCTCTCGGCACATCTGAAGCTCAATGAAGCCAACGTTGTCTCTTACAACATATTTGAAGATCTTTTAGAAGTAATTGATGTAACACTTATAATAAACAATGTCGATGTGTCAGCCCATTGAATAGGGTGGCTAACATCTTATCAATATATTAATTGTAAAAATAGACAATGATGTAAAGCCTCAATTAAGGAGATGAAATCACGTGATTCTGATCAAATAAACACCACATCGGTCAAGGTAGTATTAATAGGTTATCTTTGTGACTTAGAAAGGGTTGGATTTTGGAAGTTAAAATCATATACTCCTGATTATTGAGTGAATAAGCAGCACATGCAACCATTTGGGTGATCATCTTTCTTTTTTCTACATTTTGGCGACTAGATACAAATCTTGACATGTAATTCAACACTCATAAACACACGTCATTTATACTTCCACATATTTCTATTTAGCCTTCGATTTTCGTCGAATGGATTGGATCTAGATTGGAGATCGTTGTTAGCGCGATCAGCTTCGTTACACTCGTCGGAGCTCGAACACTTTTGTCTCTCACCGTAGGGCATCTCCCACGTTCACATCCGTTTTTCTCATTGTCTCGCTTGTAGAAACGCGCCAAAACTTGTTTGACGTGGCGAGAGTGGACACGACATCTATGACTCATTTTTCGGGGTCAAGAATTTTCACACTAACCCCTTGTTTGGTCGTCTTTTTTTGGGAAAAAAACATTTTTTGACTAATGAATTTTGGAGAATGTGTAATTAAAAAGTGAGAAAAACTTTTGAATTTATCCTTATATGAATGTGTAGTTAAAAATTAGTACGTAGAAATTGAAATTTTATTTTTACTTTAAAAGAATGAGAGAGAAACCGGGGCCAAGTCACTTGCTATCTCCCAATTGGCTGTAATGGATCTTACTGTGGTACGTCAACTTATTACTATACCAAGTCACAAGCATGTTAGAATAAAAAATGCTTTTACTACATTTTTATATAAAAAATTGGTGTAATCTTTATTTTCACGTAGCGGTTAAATAAAAGATTGAGAGCGTGACTGAGCATAAAATTCAATTAAAATTAAAAATATAATCGTTATTGTATCTCATTCGTCTAATAAAAATCAACAATAATCGCTAATTTTTCAATTTTAATTCGATTTTAATTTCCACTGAACACGCCCTGATTACAGTATCAATGACAATTAAGTAATTTCTGTTAATTTCGAGGACAAAAGGTGATAAAATATTACCATAGTTGTGAAATACTTCGGTGAAATTTGAAATATAATTAAATTTTAATGACTAAAATGACACAAATTAGAGCTTAATGATACAATTAAAATACTCTCTCCGTCTAATTTATACAAGCCAACTTTCCTTATTTTTTTTTATCGCAATTATATAGTCATTTTTCTTATTGAAAATATTTTGTTTTGTTCATTTATTAATATATCATTATTTAATTTATCCGACTATAAATAATTTATTACTAATTATTGATCGTGATGAAAATTTACCCAAGGCTGAGTCTTGTCGCGCCGTTTCAACTCTATCTCGCATGTTTGCCTATTTATGGCTAAATGCCTATTTATTTGTAGCACTGTAAATAAATAGTCAAATAGTTTAACTTCCCATATACAAGATCTAACAAAAGGGAAGTGCTATGTGTATACAATAATTTACACAATCTTTTACACCTCCTCACATGGTGGGGAACCCACATACAATAAAATATTTGTGAGCCCCACTCCATGTGAGGGGGGTGTAAAAGATTGTGTACACTACAAGGTGTACACATAAAATAATCCCCTAACAAAAATGTTCAAGAATTATAATTTAATATATTAAAAAAACTTAATTTATAATTATTCTAAACCCCTGTTTGACACACATTAAACTTTTCATTTTCATTTTTCTACTTCTTTTCAACCACACATTCTTCAATAAAATATTATTTTCCATCACATCAATAATTTTTCATTCTTTTTCAACCACACATTCCCCATCAATCTACCATTCCAAAATACATCCTTTTAAAATAATATTCATCAAACACACCCTACATATAAGTCAGACCGATACAATTATACGCATGTCATCGTTTTGAAAATAAAAAGTGGCATGGCCGGAAATAGATAAATAACTCGAGGTAAACACTAGACGTTGCCAAACTTGATCCGCTGTGTCATTTCAGATCACAGTGCCACGATGATGACAGATTGCATCGACTCCTTTTGGTGTTTATTATCATAATGGGTTGCTTCGTGGTCCACCAAATATTGGTCTCATGTAGGCATCATCGAATCTTCTCCAGAAGGAATGTATAGTGTATACCGGTCTTTCCATTAGCATCGACAAACTATCTGTTACTCGATGAAGGTTGACTTCTGCAGATTCTTGAAAGGAAAGCAGAGGAAGCTTCATATCCTCCTTTGAGATACTTGGTTCCCGGTCTATGTTGCTGGTTTCACTGACGCTATGAGGAAGCAGATAATTTACTAGTGGTTTGGTTAAAAAGCCAAAGACCTGCATTACAAGATACTTTTCAGACGAAATGATCAATTTGACGCAAGGCTGAGGAGGATTAGACAATACTGGACGATATCAAATAAGAAAAACAGGTTAAAATGTCGTCTATTATACAGTTCTAACATTGTACAATAAACATGCAGTATGATGAGTAAGAAGTTGACACTTTAGAAAGACGATTACTCTATGTAAGCAAGTATTGAAACAGCTAGTATTGGTAAGATCAAGTTCTACTTACTATCGTGCTAAAGAGCACAACGATAATTGTTGTTGTGACCATTGTAGCATCTACTTGGTCGGGTGACACGCCATAATGTGTGAACTGCGTCCACAAATGACAATAAGTAGGAAAAACAATACTTGTTACATCCAGTACCCAAGAAACTCGAATCGCAATAAGATTTTCTTTTGAGAAACATTTGAGTACCTGTTTAAATGCCAATGCAATGGAGACAGCTCCTCTCATTAGCCCAGCCCACCAAATTATTATCTAGTTAAACCATGGAGCAGCAAATAAGTAAACATTTAGTTTCTCTATTTATTGAAACTTGCTTCCTCACCAAAAAAATAAAATAAAATAAATTAATAATAATAATTTAGAAAATGCACTAATAATCCTGTCGTGGCTTGGAGATTCAACCAATATATGTTC